AGGGAGTTGGGCTTGTTCAGCCTGGAGAAGAGAAGGCTGTGGAGAGACCTGATTATGGCCTTTCAGTACCTAAAGGGGGCCTATAGGAAAGACGGGGAAAATCTTTTTAGTAGGGCCAGCTGTGACAAGACAAGGGGTAATGGTTTTAAACTAAACCAGGGTAGGTTTAGACTGGCTATAAGGAAGAAATTCTTTACAATGAGGGTGGTGAAACACTGGAACAGGTTGCCCAGAGAGGTAGTGGAGGCCCCATCCCTGGAAGCATTCAAGGCCAGGTTGGACGGGGCTCTGAGCAACCTGATCTAGTTAGCGGTGTCCCTGCTCCTGCAGGGGGGTTGGACTAGATGACCTCTAGGGGTCCCTTCCAACCCAAAACATTCTATGATTCTGTCACCTCGGGAGCCGTGGGGATTAATGCAGTGCTTGGTCAAGTGGCTCTAGCTTCTGTTAGCATGAAATGTTTAGTCACCTGTAGTGTGAGTATACCTGTGCACTGTCACGCAAAGAAACAAAGAGGTTATTTGCTGGTAGATGGAATTCTTCTGATGCGGAATCTAAATCTATGTTTCCTTCCTACCTTTCCTCTCTTCCCTCAATCCTTTGAAGTTTTAAAGTGCATCTGTGGGTAAAATGAAAGTGCTGTCTTCGGTGGTCGTACACTGAGAAGGGAGGATTTGGGAGAGGGAAGGCATGAGCCCACCCTGTGTGAATACGACGGAAGAGAAGCAAGCTTTTTGGTCCATAGCAATAGGGCATGTGTGCATGTCAGCTCTGCTTTCAGAATTCACATTATTTCTCGTGGCAGGATTGCACCTGGTGGTTACAAACAGGCATTAACGTGGCTGAAGTGTTTCAGATTGCCACACCAGCCTTCCAGGGAAGGAGGTGCAGTTTTCTGTTGTGATTTATCAGTAAAACAGGTATGTTATGTCTTAAATTTTTGCCTGCTTTAGATTTTATTTCCCAAATAGATGACTTCTGTTTCAGAATCTTGCTTAAATAGGAACATGTTTAAGCGGACAGCAAAATAAGAATGTCCAAAAT